CGCACGACGCTCTTCAGTCCTGGAGACCCCTCTTGCCGGGCAACGTGGCGCCCAAGGCGTCGGCGCATGCGCATCCCATCCTGGCAGCAGCAGCAGAAGGCAGGGAGATGCCACCCGCATCGGACGACGAGTTGCCAGCTGGTTCGCTAGACGCTACAGCTGCTGCGCCGCGCCGAGCGTACCCGGAGCCTGCTGCTCACACCAAGAAAGCGGATGTAACATCGGGCGATCGTGCGCTGATCGACGTCTTGACCAGCTTTTCAAGCGTCAGAAAGAGGCTGGAGCTGGAGCATGTGCTCAAGGATCGACGAGGAGAGCAGAGAAAGTTGGCGCCGCCTGGATTGGCTGTCAGCGAAGGTTACCGCATCACGGATACAGGTCTAGGGAGCAGACAGAGGCTCGAGGCCCTGAAGAGCACAAAAGAGTTCAAGGGTGGGTAGCGCGGGGGGCGGGGGCCGCAAGCACTCGCGGCGCGCAAGCACTCGCTCACTCTGATCCGCCCTCAGGCACCGTTGCGGAACAAATGGCGAATGCGAGCGGTCGCAGCGGGCTCGCTTCCGACGCTCCAGCTGCTCTGCAGCAGCCTGCGTGGTTGCCACGAGGTGATGACGGCACGTCTGCACATGTCATGCGCAAAGAGACTGGATTGGGCTTACCAATGACGAGGATATACACCGAGTTTTTGGGAGGCAGATTGACACTTCGTAGCGTCGACGGGTGAGTTTTTTTTTGCAGCAGCAAGCGCGTCGCGGCGCGTCGCGTTCGCGTTCGCCTTGTGCACAATGGAAGCTCATTCGTGGTGCATTGCATTCAGAGGCGGGCTGGATGTCTACTTGCGCCTACAGAAACTCGGAGACAAGCAGGAGCAAATCGACGACATTGAATTGTAGCGGGCGTGCGTGCGCGCGTGCGTGCGTGCGTGTGTGCATTCCCGCACAGATGTATGCACCGCGATGGAGTACTCGTATTGCGATGGAGTACTCGTGTTGAGCGCCATTGGATGCCTGCTCCTCTTCGCGGCAGCTCTCTACTCGCAGACAATTTTGCATCTCTTTCAGTCCTTAATCCCTCCTTTACCCCTTGCTGACCCATTTCAGCATCGATTTGCCCAACGACGTCCTCGTGCCAGTGAGGGAGAATGTGCGCAGGACGCGGCTAGACATTTCGCTTTGCCCACTCGACGACGATGGCTTGATTGCGATGTTGCCGGGAGGAGGGCGGGCGTGGGTGGTCGCCGCCGGGTGGAGATGACGACAATCTGGATGGGTGCATTGCAGGGCATGCTTTTGAAAGGAGCGTGGTCTAGTGGGCACGACTCTTGCGTCGTGCAGCTCTTCGATCTGGTCGATCATGGCAGAGGCGCGACTCGATCGCAAGGGCTTCGTATGGACGACGTCCATTCGGTACGAAGCCGTTGCACCGTGGTGCTCGTTCCAGCGCCTCAGGCTGGAGCCCGACTCGTCGTCAGAGTGGTAGGAGGTGGATGCTTGATCGAAGCGAGTAGGCGCTTCGCGAGGTAGCGAGTCGAGCCTGTCCAACATGAACGCGGGCGCTTCGTGAGGTAGCGAGTCGAGCTTGTCCGACATGAACGCGGGCGCTTTGCCCTTGCTGCTGGCTTGTTGTCGAGGCTTTGTCTCTAGCGATGCGCGCCTCACGTCTGACATTTCGATATCGATGGGCTGTGAAAGGGCGTCTTTGCTTCCTGCGCAGCTCACGTCCAGCGCGAGCAGCAGTGTGCCAAGAAGGAGAGAAAGGAAGAGCTTCATTGTGGGCGCGCGCGCGCGCTATCCCCCGTCGTTTCGCGTCGCGCAAAGCAAAGGTGAAACGTTGCCACGCCAAGCTCGAGCAGCAACAGCTTACTGTGAGTGAAAAAGAACAAAAGAGATGAAGATGCGCGAGCGCTGCTGAAAGCAAGAGGCAACCCGCTCTAGCGCGCATTTTATACCTTTTCAGCAGGGCGAGACGCAGCGCGAGCGAGCGAGCGAGACGACCTTTCTGGTCATCTTCCGACGCGGACAGGCGGATCAAATCAGATTTCGCGCGTGGGGACGGATCAGTGGCGGGTACGCCGCGCGGGGACCTCACCGGTTCATGTTGCCGTTGACGCCTGCGGCGGGCCCGCGCGCGCGGTCAAATGTGACTGCGTGCGGCGTCGCGAAGGTCGCTCAGCGTGAAGCCAGCACACGCGCGGTGTGCGATGGAGCCAGCACACGGCCACGGCCACGGCCCAGGGCCCACCTCGAGCATGGATCGCATGAACACATTCCATTTTTTGTGTGCGAGCGCGTGCGATGCGGGACGTCGATCCATCTATGCCATCTATGTGTGTGCGCGATCCATCTTGTGTGTGTGTGCGCGCGCGCGCGCCCTTACTCCCTGGTAATGTCTCTGCCAAAGAGCCACACCTTGACCCAGTCCGCCGCGACTTGGGTTCGATTGCGCAGACTGAAGAGCATGCTGAGGTATGCCGATCTCCAAAACAGGTACGTGGCAGTTCCGGAAGCCGAAATGGAAGCGCCGTTGGAGAGGGGCACGTCTGCTATTGCTCGCTCGCCGCCAATGTACGCCAGACTGCCATTGTTTGTGAATTTGAACGCTGGCAATTTGGCAGCCCTGTCTGCCCGCTTTTGCAGCTTCTCCACCTCCTCCGACGGTCTGCCTGCCCGCAGCGCCTCCGAGGCCTTTTGAGCGAGCTGATCCGCGTGAGCGAGCTGTGCAAAGATCTTGGCAATGTAGGAGCCTTGCTGCGAAGCGGCTTGAGCCGTGGGAGCCCACTGAGTCGCTGTGGCGTCGCCCACGGCAAAGATGCTATCCTCGGCGCCAATCAATCTCAGCTGGTCATCCACCTTTAAACCTCTTCGCTCCGTCTGCGTCTCCTTGAGTTGAGCCTGCAAGTCGCGACTGATCGGTCTGCTCGTATTTCCGGCGGCCCAGATGAGCATGCCGCAGGGTAGATTGACAATGCCTTCTGGGCCTTGCATCGTCACGCTCTTTTCATCCAGTCCCTTGACCATGTGCTTGGCGAGAATGTCGATCTTGTTGGATTTGAATGTGCTCTCGGTGTACTCCACCAGACCCTTGCTGAATGCGGGCAGAATTTGGGGCAGCGCTTCGACAAGCGTCACGCGGACACGATTTGCGACGGCCTGGGGGGAGGGGGTTGTCAGCGGGGTCGTGTGCGCGTGTGCGCGCGACGAGCGCTCGCTCAACTCACGCTGTGGCGACGCCAGACGCGAGAGGCGAAGGCGAAGAGGTGCACTCGTCTCGTCAGCGCAAGATTACAGCAACGCATCTCCTCCCCCCACTCACGGGTACCACTTGCTCAGATCATCCACAAAGTCGTGCATCTCTGCTGCCGCTTCCACGCCCGTAGGTCCACCACCAACAACGCAAATGTGCAGCAACCTGTCCATCTCCTCGTCCGACTGGCCCACCAAGCTAGCCTTTTCGATGAGATCCATGATGCGCTGCCTGATCTTGCTGGCATCCTGCAATTCCTTGAGGAAGAATGCGTGCTCCTTGATGCCAGGGATGTTGAACGTTTGATTCTGCGAGCCGACGGCCACGACGAGATAGTCGTACTTGACAGTCGTCTCGCTGCCATTGTTTGCCCCGTATATTTCGCTGTTGCGGTCCTCAAACGTCACGGTCTTGTCCTTGACGTTGATCTTGGTAGCCTCTGCTTCCAGCACCTGCACTTCGCGAGTCTTGTAGCGTGTATTGTGCCTGTCACGAGTGCGGGAAGGCTGAGCTGGCGCGGACGCGGACGCGAGCGCGGGCGCGAGCGCATCCACACTCACCTCGTAGGCTGGGCGATGGAACGAGGCGAGACGGTGCCTACGGTGACTTGCGGCAGGAGCGGCGTGTACAGGCTGCGGGCGGCGCGCGCGCATCAGTGGCCGCATGGCGCGCGAGCGCAAACTGCCAAACTCACAAGTAGTTTTCCTTGCTAATGACGATGACATTGTATTCGAGATTGTCCTGCGCGGCGCGGCGCACGCCATCTCTTAGCGCTGGCGCATCCCTCCCACACATTACCCCCCTCCCCACACACACACACTCACGATCTCCTTGAGTAGGGCAGTAGCACCCCAACCTGAGCCCAGCACGACGATCGTCTTTTTGGTGGGGTCCAGAGGCAGCTGCTGGTCCGGTGGGTGATTGCTCTCGTGCACATAGTAAGCCAGCGTGCCCGCACCCAGCAGCAGCGTCAAGTAGGTCCATCTGCGCAGTCGCTTGAAGAAGCCAGCGCGCGGGGGCGGTGGGGGAGGAGAAGAAGAAGAGGAGGAGGAGGAGGAGGAGCCTGAGGAAGCAGGAGGAGGAGGACCGGGCTGGAATCGCGCCTGTTGCGCTGCCGCTTTGGCTGTAGGCGTCTCCAGCAGAGGATTCTGAGCCTGAGCCGCAGTCGCAGTCGCAGCGGCAGCCACAGCGCTGGCTCGCCAGAAGGATCTCTGCAGAGAGCCTGCTGTGGGTGGAGCAGCGCAGACTCGTGGGATGACTAGGTCAGCTCGGCGCGCCGAATGGGCTCGCAGAGCGCACTGATGCGTCGCTACACGCAATGTCGAGCTGGCAAACATGATGGCGGTCCGTCGAGGTGGGGCAGAGTGAAACGTCAGGGGTCCGTCGAGGTGGGGCAGAGTGTGAGTGAAAAGTCGGGAGTCACAAGTCGCCTGGATGTCTGTCGTGGTCGCGAGGAGCGCGCGCGCGCGTTTGCACGTACAACTTGGATGGCGGGGCGCGCGCGCGCACGCTTGCCTCGCCTTATCTTTTAAATTTGACGGCGAGAAGAATCACGAATCACGAATCACGCATCAGAATGCTGCGATGCGAGTCAGGGTCGCGGTGACGCGCACGCACGCACGCACGCACGCACCACCGGCGCGGCAATCTTGGTGATGGCCGCGGTGATTGCCGATGCGTGCGTGCGTGCGGGCGGGCGCGGACATGTGCACGCGCGTGCGCGGGCGGACATGTGCATGCCACAACTCGCTCCGGCCATGCATGCATGCACCCGCGGCCCGCGCCACGATCACTCACACTCACACTCACACTCACACTCACACTCACACTCACACTCACACTCACACTCACACTCACACTCACGACTGCCGCGCAAGCCACCCCGCAGTGACAATTGCGATCGCGATCGCGCGACCGAGGCAATCGTGCGTTCACTTCGCGGCGCGCGACGACACGCAAATCACAATGTCGCACGCACCAACGCGCTACTTGCACGAGTGTGATGAGTGATGTGCGCGCGCGGGCAAGAGCATCATCAAGAGCGCGCGGGGCAAGTGTGAGTGTGAGTGTGAGTCAGACGACGAGCCTACAGAATCGTGAATCACGTGAACATCCATCACTCGTCACTCGACGAGCAGCAGCGTCGCAGCGCACGTCGCAGCGCACATCGCATTCAAGTCGTGCGTCTCAACAGTCGTGAGTGCTGACGTGTCTTTAAAGCAGCTATAACGCCATGTCAGCACCCACGCCATGTCAGCACACTGCTCTCCTCCCATCTCTCACCATCCTCGTGCAGAAGCGGTCGCAGCGCAGTGCGGCGACGTTGGCTCTCGGCACGTTCCCACCGGACCTCTCCTCTGCCTGTCGCTTCGACAAATAAATGCACCGTCCATGGCTCGCGCAAGCTTCAGCGCCACAGATCGAGACTAGGTCGAGCGCGTGGTGCGCAAGGTAAACGAGGCCATGCCGAGACGCGCTCCTGCCCCACATCGGGCCGTTTGAGGCGCGCAGCCATACGCGTCTAATGACACCTCGGTCTCTTCACACCATGACGTCGAGCGAGCCAAGGTCGGTCGCCGTGGAGGAGAACGCAAGAGGCGCACGCGCTCGGATACATCATTACAGTGGAGCTCACTGTCACGGTGCAAGTCTCCGTCATACCGTAGCTTTATCACTTTGAGCGCGTGCGCGCGCACCTCTTTCTCTCTCACTCACCAACCATTCCGCTGCCCGCCATGCTGCTCGTACAAGCGCTCCCAATCCTGGCTCTGGCCACCACTGCGACTTGCATGCCGCAATTCGGCCTCCCTGCGGACCTCTTTCCGCGTGCGAATCCAAATAATGAACCTCCAGTCACAAACACGACGGTCGACGTGCTGCGCGTCGCGCTGGACGGTGCTTGCACTGGCAATCCTCGCGCAGTGAGGGATGCGTGGGTCAGACAAATCGACGGCGCAGACGTTCAAAAGTGAGTCGGAGTCGGGGGTGGTGCGCGTGCTGTGCCCTGCATGAGCTGACGAAACACACACGAAAACATCATCGCACGACAATCCAGCCATGGCATCACGCTGGATAAGCCCGTCGTGACGCAAACACTCTATTCGCTGCACTACGTCAGTTACATTTCCAAACTCAACAAGGACTTTGACTTTACCCGTCAGCAGGCCGACTACATCTTCCAAAAGATGACTGCGGTAGGCTACGAGGATCTCAACGCTGCATTGCTCGACAAGACGCGCCTCGAGAAAGCGCGTGCTCTCAAGCTCGACCGGCAGATCCATCACAGCGTTGGCAAATTGTATCGCAATTGGACCGCCTTTTTCGACGAGCAGTATCCTGGAATGTGAGTGGGTGGGCGAAAAGTTCAGCGTGCATGTGCGCCCACCTGACTGGCGAACCTCTCCTCAGCGAGCCAACGTGGCCCAGCAAGATCGTCTTTAAAGACGTCGTCGATCGCATCAAAGCCAAGTTGCGTGAAGTTATGCGCGCATACAGCCCGCGTGAAGGTATGCGCGCATACAGCCCCTAAGAACGATGGTCCCAGCGCCCAGCTCCGCGAAGAAAACGTTCCAAAGTGTAGCGTATCCAGTGTCCCCTGCGAGAAGATCCCTCTGTCGATCGATTCGTCGTCGTCGCAAATATCAGCCAATTCTGATTTGCAAGTACCTCTTGCACCGCTGACCCGCGTGCCACCGCTCCAGAGTTCATGACGGCGCGCGCAGCACAGCACACGCACGCACCGAGCGTCGGTCTGTGGGGTCTCATGCTGTGAGTCAAACACGGGATGGATGAATGTGTGTGATGGTTCGAGTCTAGGTAAATGTACGCCTGCATGGCGGGGCGCGCGCGGGATAGTCACGTGCCAACAGTTGCTGACTGTAGCCTTTATTCGCGAACATCACTTTCACGAGCGCAAGGTCGATCAAGCATGCGCGTGCTTTAGATTCAGTGAGCGTAATGATGATATAAAGTCCCCGTGGTGCGGCCTGGCCAAGGCAACTTGGCCGAGTGGTTATGGCGCTACGTTCAGGTTAGACTGAGTCCCGCTGGGCTTTGCGCCGAGCACCTCCCGTAGTTCGAAAGAGCGTGGGTTCGAGTCCCACAGTTGTCAAAGTTTTTTAACCTTTTAGCCCCAAACCCTTTTTCGATTCCAAATGTCATGTTGCCATCGTCCGCAACACAGCGCCTGTATATGCACTGGATCTCTGGTCTTTCCACGGTCCTCATGCCGAGGTCCAAGAGTTTTGGAGACGCCAGGCAGGACCTGAACTGCTCTCGAGACTTGATCCGCGTATTCCGTGCATTGTTGGAGGAGACTGGAACCTATGGCAGTCCTCGCTAGACTGCTTCAATGCACCCGTCTCTGCGACGGATTGGGCGCCACTCGGAATGGTGTTGGACGCTGCAGGCTTGATCGATGGCTTTCGTCACACCAACCCTCACAAACGCGAGTACACGCGACTGCACGTGTTGAACAAGAATACGGAGCACGCGGAGCTCGTCTCTGCTCGGCGGCTGGACAGCATCTGGATTCCGAGCTACCTGCTGACTGACAAGTGCTTGGGCGCCAGCTCGTTTGCTTTCTCAGGCAGCGATCACAAGGTTGCTACGCTGATTGTGCGCGCACAGACCAGCACGATTAGACACAGACGAGGCTTCTGGCATCTTCACGCGGGGATCTGGGAGAACCCCAAGACAAAGGAGGACTTCCAAGCTTACGCAAGAGACATGGGAAAAGGGGTGAGCGGTGCGACACCTCAGGAGGACGTACAAGCCTGGTTCCGAGCGAAGCGCGGCATTTGCACATATGCGCGGGCGACTGCGACGAGGATTGGCAAGGAGCAAAAGGCGCTAACAGGCGCAGTGTACGAGCTCACGCGACGCGTAGACGAGCTGGATCTTGCGCGGGCGGCTGACCGCGCCGAGATGCCCGCGCTGCTGCGAGAGCTCGGACGCGCGCTGCGCGCCGAGGCCGCGCACGTGAGCCTGCAGGCTAGGTCTCAGCTGTTGGCGGAGTACATACGCCCAAGCAGCTGGCTTTCCTCAAAGCAGGCATCTGCTACGTTTGAGGCGGTGCCGGCGCTGTTTCACCCCGACGGGCATCTCTGTGTCTCTACCGTGGACAAATTGGATGCAGTGTACGAACACTTCACAAGGGCTAACCAGCCGCCTGCGCCCTCGCCTCAGCAAGCTGCGGCAAGCGCGCGTTTGCTTGCCGCAATACCACAGTCGGCCAAGCTGAGCGGTGAGCAGCAAGATGAGATGGCTGCTCAATTTACCAAGGTGGAAGTATACCGTGCTCTCCACAGCATGACAACCGACTCGGCGCCAGGACCCGACGGGCTCACGTGGCAGCTCTATAACGCCATGGAAGAGGCGATTGTGCCACGCATCACACGCATGATGAATGCTCTCATGGACGGAGCCGAAATGCCGCGCGGACGGCCAGCAGTCCGAGGTGTGCTGCTCCCCAAGAAAGGCGATTTGAGACGCATTGAAAATCTGAGACCGCTCTCGGTGAACGACATGGCCGAGAGGCTCATGAGCAAGGCGATGTCGATGCGGCTTCAACGGATTGCTGCCCACTGTTTGCCGTGGAACCAAGCGGGGTTTGTGGCTGGCCGGAGCACCACGGACATTGGCCTACTGCTGCAAGGACAGGCGGACTTGCTGCGGATGCCGCGGCGCAAGCAGCCCCAGCAGCAGAGATGGGGCTGGACAAGCAAGCACCGACAGGACCCAGAGGGAGTCAATAGCAGCGCGACACGGTATTATGTGATCTTGCTGGACTTTGCAAAGGCATATGACCGCGTATCGCGCATATGGCTCATGTCAGCGCTCCAAGGCTTTGGTTTTCCGGAAGAATACTGCAGGCTCGTACAGCAGATGCTCTCAAACGCCTCAGTTCGCTTTGTCCTTGAGGGGTTCATGACGGCACCAATTCAGCTGCAACTTGGCGTCCTCCAGGGCGCTCCTGATTCTTGTATCATGTTCGAGTTGACGCTACAGCCCCTCCTTTTCCTCCTCGAGCAGCTCCACATAGGCGTGCATCTCCCCTTTACCTCGGGCAGGACTAGCGTGCTTGCTTTTGCCAACGATGAGGCTGTGCTCATCGATGTCAGCACACAGAAACAGTGGGACGACCTGCAGGACGCCCTGCGCACGTATGAATTAGCGACAAACGCGAAGCTGAACGCATCGAAGAGCGCCTACTTTGCAATGAAACCGGAGGGCGCGGACGGCGCAGTGGCCGAGCGCGTGCCCGAGTACCTGGCGACGTCTGGCTACCGCCAAGAAGGCCTCCAGGTCACCCATCTTGGACATCCGGTGTCACTCACCGATCCTTTCTGCAAGGAGGCCTTTGCAGAGCGCGTTGCGGCCATTGGCAGACATTTGACGTGTATCCGGCAGGTCCACACCACCCTTCACACGCGGATGAGGATTGTGAATACTCTGGCCCTCGGTAAGCTTTGGCATGCCTTCAGCCTGTGTGGTATGCCTCCCTCCTTTTCCAAGGAAGTGCGCTCTGCAATCAAGTCCTTCCTCTTTCTTGGCGGACGTCAGTGGATCCGCTGGCAGGTGCTGATCACACCGACAGCTCAGGGTGGATTTGGATTGCTGGACCCATACGTCATGGGGCTAGCTTACTCTGCCACCATTGTTGCGCGCTATATCCTAAAAAGCTCGCCCATGGGAACATTCCTCCGTGAGGGACTACACCACTACATTACCGACTCGACGCTCATGGCGAGCACACCGGCGTCTCTCCTACTCCGGCGCAACCGTGAATACCGCAGGCTGAATATGCCTGCAAGTGCCTCTCGGAGCATGTTTGGAAGGATGATCCGGGCGCTGTGCTTGATCGGACTCCAAGTCCATCCCTCCACCGACTGGAGCACAGTCACACCGCACGAACTGCTCGGTTTGCCGTGGTACACGCCAGCGCTGGGTATACAATGCTCGCGCCCAGCAAAAGAACGTAGTCTGCGCCAACGGAACGACAACTCTCCACCACTGCCGGAGCGCGATGCCACAGGCACGCCAGAGAGGGATCACCCCCGCGGGATTGTTGCGGGCGCCATCCCGCAAAACGAAATCGCCAAACAACACAGCGAGGTGCTTCAACACCTCAAGATCTCCTACTGGGGCGAGGACCTCATCCTTCGTTTCAAGATCATCACCTTTGCCGACATCATCTGGTACAATGAAGGGAAAGGCATCGCCACTGCCGAGGGAGCAAAGCTTGCTTCTGGCTGCATCCGACCGCCGTGGCCTCCCGCCCTACGTAACCACTGGCCTGGATGGCGCAATCGCTTCCTACCTCTCGGCATTGACTATGCGCAACCGCTCGACGTCCAATTGGCCTTTAGCGCGTACGCACCCGTCCACAACACGTGGGACTCCCTGTGGAAGCGGCTCCCGCCGGCAGTCAAGCAGACCCTCACGGGCCTGCCGAATGTTTTTGCAGTTGCGAAGGATATCTCTGCCTCAAGAGCGGTCAATCCCCGCACAAGGCCTTTTTGCTGGGAACCTACAGAGTTCAGATTGCCGTGGAGACTGCTGATCCTTGGCAACAAGAAGTGGGAGGCCGTCTCGGTGCGATCCTCCCGCGAAGCAATTCTGTCCGTCGTCACCAAAGACGACCCGGTGCAGCCGGACTGGTCGGACCTGACGCATGATCCCAGATGGCGCAAGGTTTGGGACGACATGTGGGCGATTCCAATGTCTCTCGAGCACCTTCAAGCCGTGCACCTCTTTCTGCTACGACGGGCGTGGGTGTCGTCCACCACGGGTCTGGCTCGCATGGAAATGAATCGCCTAGCGCTGCTCTCCGAGCGCCCTGCTCACGACGAGGGTGACTCTGATGACGACGAAGCAATGTTTCAGGTTGCCGAGGAAGCCGTTGAAGGTACAGGCTTTGAGGATCCGGAGAAAGACGGAACAGCAGTGTCTACTTCACGGCGACCTCCAGCGAGTACTGCTCCTCCTGCAACTGGTGCGGATCCCACCACGCCCCACGCTGCCCCAATTCCGACGCCAAAAAAGAAGCGCTCCAAGTCTTTGGTGTTCACCACGTTAGATACAATTTCACCCACCTCTGCTCGGATGTTGCAAAAAACACCCACCAGGCCAACGCCGCAGAGCCCCACAGAGCGCCTGCACAACACTGCAAAGGTCACAAACGCCGGCACTGTTGGCATGGCTGCACCGCTCCTCATGTCATTGTTTGATGAGATTGATGCGTACACGTCCGAGCAGGAGTTGGACCTGCCGGTACAAAGTGGGCCGGCGGGGCACCAAACCGATGCGCGCCCGCCAAGCCCGCCGGCCGAGCGCGCGCGCACGCGCGTCTCAGACCCAGACGAGGCGACGCGGCAGGCGACGCACGAGACACATGAGACAATGGTGAGACGGTCTCACTGTGACTCTGCGCCACAGGCGCAATCTGCGCAGCCAGTGTGGCGACGCACGCGAGGGGGCTGGTCAGCCACTACGCCAAAGATAAATTATGACAACCTCGCGACGGCGTTCGACCGGCGTTCACCCTCGCTGAAGGTGCCTGCACTGCGTCGCGACCAGATTGGCGCAGGTCCAGATTCCGCCTTTGACGACGGGAGCGGATCATCACCTTCATCATCTGAGACGCACAGTTCCCAATCCGCCGCGCCTGACGCGATGCCAGCGGTCTCCCGACGCGAAGCGTGGGCTGGAAGCAAGCCAATATCCTCGCGGATCAATGCGGCAGCCTTTGAGGCCATCTTTGCCACGTCCACGGAGCGTGCGCACCGCAGCCGTCATGCACAGCAGAGAGACGGACGCGAGCAGGTCCAGTCTGCGCGCCCCGATGTTTCTGCGGCCCGACGCGTGCGCGTGGGAGCGGGCCAATCTGGGCCTGCACCGTCGCAGGCGACTGTTGCCGCAACCACAGCAGTGGAGCTTGATCACCGTACTCTTTGGAGGAGCTACCTTGCAAGACAACACAGCCCGTCTCCTCTGCCACGGCCGAATAATGCAGCTCAGGGCAAGGGCAAGGGACGACGTGCAGAGGAGCCGCCTGCGTCTGTAGAATCAAATCCTACCGTTGCAGCTGTCACAACGGCGCCATCAAGGACAATTCAAGTAGCCTCGCAACGCAGAGGCCCAGCACTGCGAGCACTGCTGGATGGCACGGCAGACAACGGACGGCATGCTGAGAGCAGCACGACTCGCAGCAGGTCAACTGGGACCAACACAGCTCCGGCAACCGCCCGCGCGCAGACAACAGACCCTAACGATGCCACTGCTTCTCCCCTCCCCGCCCCTTCCCCCGCCCTCCCTCCCTCCGTCCCCCCCGCAGGATCAT